AATGCTACTTTCCATGAATTATTTCTAGCCTAAACTAGTTTTGGTTGTTTCAAAGATAAGGAATGGAGCTCAATAATCAAACTTGATTTAAAAGCTTATTTAAAAGCTCCTAATTATATGCCCATGAGCGATTCCGTTATTAATTTTTAGGGATGGAGACTGACATGATGATAAAATAATACAGAGCTTACTATTAGGATTAATATATAACTGTATTTAATAGAATTCATAAAAGAATCATATACAATTACGTATATGTTCAAATACATATCACTCGATAATCTTTTGTATTACATCTACATCCATGAAGACTATAGTTCTTCTTATAATTTTCCAGTATAATGTGAGTTTAGTCAACAGTCCTAAAAATAAAAAACATCAATTAACATCAAATAATCAGATGTATTATTGTCAAAAACATCATTATAATATTAATAGTATAATAAACGAATAACTACTTGAATTAAATTCAACACATTATATAAAGCAATAAGGCAATATAACTGAAACAGAAACAATGTTAGATACACCTTGGTTCTGTGAAAAGTATATATATTTAAATCAAATATACTATGTATAATAAATGTACATATAAATATAAATATGTATCAATATATCTATATCTACTGCATACAGAGTGTATTTTTCTGTTACAATATGAAAACATATTACATGTAACACATTACAATTATATTAATGTACTTTATAAGACATTTATTTTAATAATCGTAAATCGACAATATTTAATCAATATAATTACTGTTAAAGATATAAGAATAAATAGGATATTATGCAATATTCAAAATAAATTTTCATAGGAATCACTATCACTATAAATTGCGCATGCAGGATCTTCTCTAATAAATTCATGTTCTACGTACACGACACGAAGTGTATTCGTAAAGCCCGAGCCTTGCCGCCATCCTGTGACAACTATTACAGAATCACCGGTTTTGATAAAACCACGAATTTTGCCGAAATTTAATCCATATTGTACACGCACATCCACATCTTTTATCCAATCAGCCAATGGTGCTCCTGTAAAATAAAGATTTTAGTGTTGAGTATAATATAATACACATACATGTACAGTCGTGGACATATCGGTTGCGACACTTT